GGGACTCCCAAGCAGGGACTCCGAGGGGCTGAAGGAGCAGGTGTGCGCGCTCCGGCCCGCGCGCTCTCGCTCTGTGAGCGGTGCGTGCGGGCGAGCGGGCCCGAGAGACCTTTCCTTTGCCTTTCAGGCGGTGGAGCCGCTCCAGGCGGGTTCAGTGCCTTCTTAGTCCCCCAAGGTCACAGAGGGAGTGACAGCTTCAGGGAGGGCCCCGGCTACCGACTGTGGGAAATCTTCCCACTACCCGGCCTGCGCCACCTGTGCGGGCAGGCTGGTTTTTCCTCTGGGGCAGCACGAAAACCCAGTTCCCGCAGAGAACCATTCTTGTGCGTAGCAGGGAAAAGGCTCTTCTTGGACCTCAGTTCTCACATCCGTAAACTGAGGAGAGTTGAGTTAGCAGCCCTCATGGCTGGTTTCGCTTTCTCTTAACAACATTGCACTGGGCCCTTGGGAGTTCCCGGTTTTCAGCCCTAACTACCTTTTCTTGGGATTCCCAGATTAAGCTGATCAAGATGACAACCTCCCAAAAGCACCGAGACTTCGTGGCAGAGCCCATGGGGGAAAAGCCAGTGGGGAGCCTGGCCGGGATTGGTGAAGTCTTGGGCAAGAAGCTGGAGGAAAGGGGCTTTGACAAGGTGTGGGGTGGCTGCATGCACCTGGGAAGGGCTGGGGGTGGCGGACTACCATATTTCCTGGTACTTTGGGGTTGAGGAAAGTGAGAGTAGCTGTTGGGGGTGGCCAGTGGCGTGTGATCTGAAGAGACAGCCCCAGCCTGCCCAACTTCCAAGGCTCATGTGCTTTGAATGCCATAAAAGTGGCCTCCCTGTTCTTTCTTGGTCCCACAGAGCAATAAGCAGCATGCCCTTTACTTTGCCTGTTTTGCAGGCCTATGTGGTCCTTGGCCAGTTTTTGGTGCTAAAGAAAGACGAAGATCTCTTCCGGGAATGGCTGAAGGACACATGTGGTGCCAATGCCAAGCAGTCCCGGGACTGCTTCGGGTGCCTTCGAGAGTGGTGCGACGCCTTCTTGTGAGGCTCTCTCGGGGAGCCCCCAGTCCCTAGCCCCAGCATTGAGTCTCCAGAGTTTGCAGCCGCATGGGGACTCCTCCCTTGTCCTCTACAAAGGAAGAGATTGCTGTTGTTGTACTCACTTCTGATGTACTTCAAGGTCTTTTGG